CAAGATGAAACGTGCAAATGTGTTTGCGAAGCAGTTGTTAGACATTGGAAATAATAAAGTTTGAAGTGGACACTTCGACCGGATTCAACACATTACCACAGATTTTTGTCACATCACAGACTCAAAGGAGCATGTCGAGGATCTCAATGCGATCATTCAGAATTTTCTTCCAGGACAGTCAACTATCCCACGGAGTTTTTAAATTCACTGGAATTGCCTGGATTACCACCTCACAATTTGCAGTTAAAAGTAGGATCAGTTGTTCATCATGTTGCGTAACATTAATCAACCTCGACTATGCAATGTAACAAAACTGACTGTGAAAAAGCTGATGAATTACGTTATTGAGGCAACAAGCATAAAAGGAAAATACAAAGGAGAGGATGCCTTGATCCCGCGGATACCGATGATTCCAACGGACTTACCATTCGATTTTAAATGCTTACAATTTCCAGTATGTCTGGCCTTTGCGATGACCATAAATAAATCGCAGGACAGTCGTTAGAAGTTTGTGAAATCAACTTAGAGTTTCCCTGTTTCGCGCATGGACAAATATACGTCGTGTGTTGCAGCGTCGGAAAACCGTCTTCTTTGTTTATTTTACGCCCCACAAAACAAAACAAAAAATATAGTTTATGAGAAAGCCTTTAAATTGATTAACAAACTGTATCATAACAGTGTGTGTCTGTAAATATCAATATTTAAACCTGTAAAATAGCCAGTATTTCAGGAAAACTCTGTTTTGTAAGTAAGCAACATGATGTGTCGAAATAATAATAAAACTTCATGCTTTATTCAAAAAATGTTTTTTATTAAATACGGATTCGATTTGTTTGTTTTTAAAATCATTTTATACAAAAGTTTAGGTCTTATTTATCGTTGAGGCAGTACGAAGTCTTCCTCGTCAGCTAGTATCATAATTTAAAAATAATGCCTGCTGCTTTGTTTATTACCTAAATAACTGGCCTGCTCACCAGTGTTGTGTCATCTGTACAACGAACCTTAGGTTGTAGTTGTATGAAAAATTCAAAACATTTTCATTCGCTCTATCAATGTTGTGGAGAAAATCAAACAAACCATTTTAATGTCTGCATATTATTACACGAACGTACATATTCCATTTTTAATTTGTTCTTACCTCGTATGAAACACGCTCATAATATTTGGTGGTAATATAACCGGAGTGATGGGGAAATTAGTAGAGCATTTTGTTTGTTTCAAATACTAAATATATCATATGTTTTAAACTTGTGTGATAGAAACTTTTTTATAATGATTTTCAAATTAAGCATGATGTTTCATTTAAAATCCACCACTTCATCCTGGAGGTATGAAAAAAAAGTTTGTTCCCTAGTGTTATTTTTCAATAACATCTGTCGTTAAGTGTGCCGTTTTTCAATATTTTTTTTACTGAATCGTTGAAGAAAATAAAATGTTTTAATATTGGCTACTTTTCCCCGCTTACGCGTGAGGGAATTGCCACAAAGATATTCTTTGGGGCCGGTAGCTGAACCAAGAGTCCCGCCAGTGGATAGAAACCGACTGGCTCTGCCGGCGCATGCGCCAAAGACGGCGTGGCTACGACACGAAAAATGCCATGAAAAATATCAGAAACGGTAATTTCAGTAACTGGCTATCGAGAAGGGCATGTTAAATTAACTGTGCAGAAACGATAGTTTTAAAGAACAAATCAAAAGCAGTGGTGCCATACAATGTAGGCGATGGATATATAAGGAGTACCAAAAATTTCATGGTTGGACGTCGTCATGAATGGGAGAGAGACAAAATAATGCAGCTTTATTTACTTAACGTCAATGTTACCATGTCTCTTTGTTCAGTAAAATGGTATATTCAACTTTATTAAAGTTGGGAAGAATGTTGCAATATCCATACAGTGTGCATGATCTGGTTGACATACGATATCGTAGTTTCGAATGCATTTATAACGCAATACATTAGATGGCCTTTATACTGGCGATTTTTCTAACTCTGCCCCTCAAGATTCCTACTAACGGTGGGATTAATGTCACTCTTCTTCGCGTCCTTCTCGGCCGTGCCGCTAGATGTCGCATGATCGCGACCGAATAGCAGTGCATTTATTTATTTATTTATATTATTTTTTATTTATTTATTTATTTATTTATTTATTTATTTTATTTATTTATTTATTTATTTATTTATTTATTTATTTATTTATTTATTTTATTTATTATTATTTATTTTTATTTATTTATTTATTTATTTATTTATTTATTTTATTTACTTTATTTATTTATTTATTTATTTATTTATTTATTTATTTATTTATTTATTTATTTATTTATTTATTTATTTATTTATTTATTTATTTATTTATTTATTTATTTATTTATTTATTTATTATTTATTTATGCTAAATCAGTTAAAAGCTGTGTGTGATATGCTATGTGGAGAAGTTAATTTGAAGTTACATTTTTGTCCAAAGCAAAACAAGAGGCCATCTCAGCATTTGCTAAAGGATCAGGGAAACTGGACGAAAACCTGATCGAGATTGGGAGGGGGGGGCATTGACCTAGAAACTGAAGTACAATACTTGTTACAGGTTCTTTAGAATTATACAATCCAAATGGTGAATAATACACTAAATGTATAATATTAAAATTAATATTACTTTGCTTTTGGATGCTCGGTATAGTCTCTAATTGTATAGAAAAATTCGTGCAGCAGAAAAGATTTTACTTAGTATCGATAGAACTTTTGTATCGAATGTAATTGTTTAATGTCATCAGGCAAGGAGGTGTAAAATGATGTTTATGTATGTATGTGATTTTTTTGTAGTGAGCTGTTGATACTGTCACCTGATGAATAGGATTACTTCGTCGAGTGTTATAGTTATAGACATCAGTGTTTGCTGAAAATATATTCCCGCCCTTTTTGACAAATAACACTGATTGATATATCACGAGACAAGATAATGGTAAAATACCTAAATTAATAAAGAGGGGCTTACAATAACCACGTGAGTGGGATTTGCTTATTATTCGTACAATTATTTTTTGTAA